TCTTGCGGTCGGAAAACGCTTTGCATTTCAACGGGAGTGCCGCGCAGTAGCGATAAAGAGGGCTATGCCGCTGTCGATAGATGCGTAAACCTCGAGTTGGGTGTGTGCATTGTGGTTACGAATTGTTGGAGACGGGATACGTGGAGAAGGTCGACCCCAGGGGCTGGGAGGAAGGAACGATAGGGAGACGATGGTTTTCATTGACTTGGACTTCTCTGGGGGGATATGTCGATAGTCGCATGATATGAGAGCTGTCGATATACGAGGCTGTTGCAGATTTCGACGAGTGTAGAAAGCCAGCGGGCGGGGTAATGGACAGGCTCTGGCGAGGATTCACGCTTAGCTTGCAGCGACACTCTACTTCCGAAGAGAACGGGTCGGGAGAAAGCACAGTAAGTATTGCACGGCATTTGCCACTAGCTAGAATACGACCGAAGTAAGTCGCAATACACCAGGGTAAGGCAAGTGAACGCACTTATGCAGCCAGCAGTTCCTGGGCTAGGAGTGGGCCGTCCACTGTAAAGAGAGGCGCACAGCGTATTCTTAGTCTTCGACTCTGCGAAAGGCTAGCGGCCGTTCGGCGTTAGTTGGCCTGCTGGGCGACGTCAGTGCTGCATACACAAGGGAGGAGCAGGCAAACGCACCGTCCAGCATATCCCCCTCAGCATATCCTTCGCAGAAATGGAATCTCTATTGAGGAGATGCCTCGATGGGGAGCCAGGGAGGAAAAGGCAGTTCCGCAAAGCGTGTGTAGCATCCCGGGCCCCAAAAAGGCTTGTCGAAACTCATAAAAGCAGACTGCTTCATCGGCCGCGGCAGCTGAAGGCGTGTGTTGTGGAGAGAGAGAATGTAGTCAGTCTTGGGAATTGGAAGAGTTGGCGCCTCCGAGATGATATTCCTGAAGAAGGCGGTGTCACAAACGACGATCAACACAGTCACTTTCCACCACTCCCAACTTCATCATACTACACCGCCAGTGCCATAGCCTGGGGCGAGGCTCGTTGTCAACCATCTTTCAATGCCAAGGACTGGAAATCAGGCCAGCTCCAACTGCAAACTACAATACTCTACAATATCGGTAAGTACTAGTAGTATTTGGAATTTTGGATCTATTTCAAGTTAGATTTATAAGAAGTAGTCGCCGTGTCTGAAAAGGACCTCTCGTTTCAAACTGTCTACAACCTCATCCGAACCCGTCCACATGCTCGACGCGGCACTCAAATTTTCACATGTCAAACTATACTGGTCCTTGCACGTCTTGCTCCAACGCCAAGTCGCGCTCGCTCGCCAAGTCGCGCGAGGCCAAGGCCATTCTAATATACTGCTGGGAGCCGTGCACGGACCTATAAACATGGTCATGTGAGTAATTTTGTGCGTCGAGTAGCGGGAGAAAAATTTGGGTTTTGAAGCTGAGTGGGGTGGATTTTCCGAGGGTCTCGGGCATGAGTTGAGGGGAGGGTGATTCGGGCAGGTGTAAAGTTGTATATTCAGTATTTCTACGAGACACGCTAATTAAGAGACGCGTCGCGACGCGTTTGATGGCATTTCTGCACAAGTCCGTCATCCACGAACGCCGACCCAGGATTCTATCCCGTGCACAAGTCCATCGGACCTAAACCGCCAGAGCATGCTGGCCATCCGTCCCTCAGCACGAACGCGACGCGGCATGCCCCAACGCGACGCGCAAGTCCGCCTTCCGCTCCTCCTCGTCCTGCGCATTGTGTGGGCTACACACAGCCGACAGCTTCGCAGGCCAGCCGTAGCGTTCGCCTCCGGCGGCCCGGACCTATGCAAAAATGAGCCTTGAATCGCGCAAAGAAGGTCAAAAAGTGCACCCAAAAATACCATCAATTTCTGATGATGCGGATGATCCGAGCGTCGGCACGCGTCGGGAGAGAGCGAAATGTGGCTTCGAGGCATACACTCGGCCACAGGACGGCAGTGCCGCCCCAGGGAACAAGTCTGCAATGCAAGTCAGCGAGGGGAGGCAAGTGCGCGCGTGTAAACGGGCAAGTTATAACGGCAACGCGTCAGTGAAGGTTGAGGGGAGATAGATGACAACGGTGACGACCAGAAGCAGCGCCAGGGCAGCAGCACGACATCGCCATCAGTGCATCACGATAGCGGTCGGTGAGCACTGCACCGTGCTGGGACAGCAACGGCAGGAAGTGGGGCAGCCATAACGGCGCCGCAGCTGGGCAATAGTGGCGAGAACCGTCTTCGACGTTGGCGGGAGACAAGGCGGAGCCGTGAAGACAGAGCGGCAGCGGCGCAGCCACAACGATGGCGGAATCTTTCTCCTATCCGCAAGGCGTCGCCAGATAAAGTGGTGCGGGTTGCCTCCGCCTCCGACAGGCCGGATCCTGGGGACAGCCGAAGAAGCTTGATGCGCCGCATCGGAGGTGGCGCAGCCGCACAGACAATAGAGCCAATGTCCGCAAGGCATTGCCAGCCAGAGTAACGATAGTGGCGGAGTGATGCACCTGGCGCAATTGATGCGATGCAGGGTGGCGATGGGGATAGTGGGGGCAATGATAGAGGCGGCAACGGGAGCGGCAGCAGCAGTGAAGCCACCTTGACCGGGACGTCCACTGGCTGTGGCTCATGGGAGGCCGGTGGGAGCGCCGATTTCGGCGGGTTGATGCGGCGTATGTGTCGGGGTGGCGCAACTTGGCCGGGAGACGGCCCGGAGGTGGCGGTGGCTAGAGCTCCACCAGGGACAGAGCTGGCCCTCCGACGGCGATGCAGTCCGGCAAAGCTGACAGCAGCAGGGCAGTGTACAGGCCCCAGCAGGGACATTTTGTCCAGTGGCCCCACATGCACATGGCCCGCCTTAAGTGGCGGGTTGATGTGCCAGAGGTGTCGGCCTTGGGTCAGGAAGTGGCGGCGGCTTGAGGTCAGCCAGGGACAGAGCCCTGTCTCAGACTGCCCTGCAGTCAATAACAATGCTAGGCCTCCGGCCATCAAAATCCTGGGCAAAAAGTGAGTCTTTGAAGGCCAAAAAGAGGACATCAAATGTGCTTACGTAAGCATCAATTGATCCGTGATTCCGGGTCACTTCCATCCAAATGGCCCATTTCTTGACAAACAAGTCAGTCTAGACGATGGGAGAAATGATAGGGACATACCAATATTCCGCCGTCTGGGCCAATCTTACAGCAAGCTTTGTTCTGCCATCAACGCTGACGCAGCGCACGCGCCAGCCGACAGCGGCGACAGCCAGTAAAATCCTACAAAAATGGTCAATAAGAAGCAAAGAGCAAAATCAGATGAGCGCACCATGAATCAGCGACCATCCGTCATCCGAGCAGAGGTTCTCCCTCCATTTCAACCAGAGCTTCAAGTCAGAGAAGCAGAAACCGATGCCTTCGGCGTTAAAGAACCTGGAAGCAGTCAGCATCGTGTTGCGGGAGGTCAGGGAGGATGACATACTGGTATCGAAGGCCGGGCCGTTGACGACAGATCCATCGCCGTCTGGAGTCTCTGGCGGCCGTCTCGCCCGAAAACCAGCTGTTTGCGGTGGGGAAGCCTACGTTAACATATCAGGAACCGACCTACGCGCCACTTGGAGGTAACTCACCAGCAGAATAACATCCAAGCAGAGGTTCCCCCTCTCGTACCAGCGCCGTCGACACCATCATCATCGCAGAGGAAGCTGCAAGGGTGTTTGAAGGTGCAATAAGGCAAGAAAACTCCACGCACAATAGTGGCCCAAGCATGTTGGCGGCATAAGCAGGGGTCTTGGCAGCGAGTACTGGTGTCAGGGCCGTCGTGCTTGCGGAAGAGAGAGTGTTGGTGGACAGAGACATTTGGGGTCGAGAATGAGGGCAACGGAGCACTACAAGGCCATTAGTCCGCGCAGTGCAGGAGAAGGGGGAGAAACGGTGCTTACCGAGGACGATGGTGGTGGTTGAGAGTCAAGAAGCGATTGGACGCGTGACTTCGTTGATACTTTGATGAAGCGTCACTTGTACACAATCGGCGTGGATGTCGGAGTCAGGGCCCTTCGCGAAGCAAGGCGCCACTGCACGTGTGCCTAGGAAAGCGAATAGGTGTGGCTCGAGGCTGCTCGCCGTTGGGTGAGCAAAACAGCAGTGCGGTGGAAAACAGGCGTACTGACAGTGAAAGGGACGGCAAGGACCCTGAAGACACGACGGGCGGAGAGAGCGTGGAGGGAGCTGGCGCGTAGCGATGGCGACTTGAAGGTGATGGTATGAGAAAGAGTTGGGGGAAAGGTTGGGTAATTTACCTAGGGGAGGTGCCTGGGCTATCGGCAGAAGGGCGAACTGTCAGGCTGTAGGGCATGGGTGTCGAGGGCAGCGAGGACGTGGACGCGTTTGCGACGAGGATGATAGGCAAAGGAAAAGAAGGTTGACAGGCGTTGTAACGCCGGGGTGATGATCAGCCGCCGCCGATGCCATCGGTGATAAGGGCTAAAAATGATGAACACGTGTAGCAAAATTCGGAAGAAGCTGGCGGATGGTGGTGAGGTGTCGGAGAAGGTTTGAGGGTACCTGGCACATGTCCGGGAAGTGTTGCGGTACTTGGGCGGTGAAATGGAGCGAAGCAGCACTAATTGACGGGACGTGGAGCGGTGCGCTGAAGGAACCCTGCTCAATGCCGCCGTTATTGGTTTCTTCGTCTAGTTGTGTGTTCCTCTTTCCTTCTTGTATCTTGCCCAGTTCAGTTTGCCCGGCATTTTTCCCTCTCACGATGTCTTTTTCAAGTTTTTGGTTGATTTTTGTCCCAAGGAACCCCCGCAGAACCTCCATTGCATGCTGGAGCACTTGCAATTTGGTCCTTTGGTCAGGTCTGTGTTGTTTGTTGGCGACTGCACTTGCTCGACGCCGCGGAATTCCAAGAGGATAATTCCATCAATCGCGGAAAATGTGAATCCTCAGCGGCGCAAGCGCGGCAATCGGCATACTTCTTATTGCGGCCCAGTTTCTTGCTCGCTTCCACGCCAACTCCGCACTTACAGCGCTGACATCGCGCTGAGAATGCCGCGACTCTCAAATTCTGGCTTCTCAATAACCTTCCCTCATGCTCTCGACCGCGCTCCACAGCCCATCAGTCACCCCTCAGAAGCCTATATAAGACCCTCATTCTGTCTCTCCCACCCATTTCCCTCTTTCCCTCCTCCCTTCATCTTCGCTTGCCCACTTCCCGATTTGGACGTCTTGGCAAAGTCAACCCCACGTGATCGCTCCTCGCTTATCCTCGGCTTCTTTCCGCCGCTCATCTCACCCTCCAGACTTCGCCCGTCGTCGAGGCCGTCGTCTGCGCGCATGCTGTCAGTAAGAGTCCTGCTTATACCTTCTCATTACTTACCCTTTTGCAGCTCACACTTGCGCTTGAAGACTAGGTTTGCGCTCCCTTTGGTTGTGCCCGACATCTGGTGCGTGCCTTCCTGGCCGTCTGCTCACGTTGTCATAGTGACAATATCGCCCGTTTCAGGTGGGAACTGTCCATGGCGGGGCACGGGCTGCTGGTGCGTCATCATACTGACTTTGTCTATGTTTCGCTGACGGTCTATGTCGTCACTGTCAGCTGGCGCGAAGCTCCATTGGTGCGTGGGCTTCCATTTACATCCACTTTCCGCGCTGCGCCGTGTCTTTGCTCTCCAACTCCACATGTCCTGTCGCTTCCACATACTTACCCTACACGAACACGATACCTCTTTCAAGTTCCCTCATGCTTCACTGCCATCCCGAGTCCTTCATCTTATCCATCTGCCTCTGACCTGTGGACTAACGACGACCAGATTCAAATCTACAGCACGGTCAGTCTCTTGCGTGCGCTCGGTATATGCGAACGCTTACCCTCTCCAGTTGACCCTTCCTCCGCCGTCGGTCCTCCTGCGAATGAACACGAATACTCACATTGTTTTCTCAGACTTGCTGTCATCAAGTATTCGCGTGCGCTGTCCCCCCCTGGGTTATTTGCGGAAGACGGGGAGCTCGGCGTGGCCCGAAATGCGCGGACGCGGCGCATCGACAGCAAAGCTGCTGACAGCAAGTGCAAACTCCACATACTTGTCTTCAAACCGCGACTTACCCTGCGTCAGATCTGTTTGGTCGTTCCCCTCGTACTCGCTGTCCGCATTACTGACCAAGGCTTGCAGATGGATAGCGAAGACACTTTCCGTGAGTGCAAACATCATGTCTCTGCAAACCATAGCTTACCCGCTGCAGCCCCGTCTTCCCGCTGTTATACTGCTGCCTCTCGGCGTCCTTGCTGTCCATTACCGCCCAGAACGAGCCGCTGCGACCACAGCTGTCGAAACAGCAATATTCATCTCAGTTTGAGCATTACTGAGCGAGTTCTTCAGGTTCCTGCCCTGGATTCTCCCGGGTGACGCGTTCACGGACAACGTCCGGCGTGGCGCGTTTGGGGCCGCGTTGGACGGCGCATGCGCAGCCTGTTGGTCGCCAGATTGCTGGGGTAAGTCCCGCTCTTGAAATCGTCGCTTACAACGTCTAGAACGACCCAGAACGCTGCTAATCAAGGATCGATCTTGATTCCGCCATTGCTGACCCGGGCCGAGCTTTGCAGGTTTCTGGCTGCAATTCGGCCCGGCGGTGCGCGCGCGATGGGTGCTGACGACTGCGCGCTTGGGGGCGCGGTCGTGCCAGATTATCGACCAGGCTCGCTCGGTACCCAGCTTGTCTTGTATCCGTCGTTGCTGACTGGATTTTGCAGGTTTATCGCTGGAGCTCGGCCAGGCGACGTGTTTTCAATGGAGGTCGAAGACGGCCCGCCTAAGGATGGCGCGTTCCCGGCCTGTTATCGGCTGGGAGTCCAACGCGCCGCGTTGCCTATGTCGTCAGTATCGTTCGCTGCCAACCGGCGCCTGGGACATGTCGATCGGCCGTTGTGGCCGGCGCATTCCCGGCCTGTTGTGGGCAAGACGGTTGTTGTCAGTCCCAGCGTCGCGCGCTCAATTAAGTTACTTACCGCCTTGCAGATGCGTCCTCGTCGAGTCCAACGCGGCCCAACTCGTTGGCAGCGTCGTTCGTTGCCCAGCGCCGCCCGGGACAAGTCGATCTGGCCGACTCTGGTCATCGCGGAGCAGGGTCGGTGTCAGACGCAAGGCTGCCGTCTTTAATGATAGAGTCGCCGTGCTGGCCGTGCTGAGTTGATTTTAGGCTAGCGGGACGTTTCGGGGAGGCCCCGGGAGCATACGGGGGTGTGTTGGTTGCGTGAGTGAAGTGGTAGAGTGTCTCGAGACTTTGTTAGTGGTGTGGTGGGATGAGGGCCGGGCCGGCGTGCTGCTGCGGTGGCGGCTCTGTCAAGCGCGGGTGTGCATGGTGTATATTGATCGACGATGAGCGATCGAAAACGCGGCCGCAGGCCATTCTGTGCGCGCACACGCCCGCTGCCTCCGGGACAAACCGTCACCCCCTTAGCCGGTGTCACACGTCTCTGTCTGTCTGGCTTGCCCGTGGAGTTGCAAGATAGTATCGGTATGTCTCAACTTGAACGCGAGTCCTGGGCGGGCGACAGCTTCGATTTGCTTCTTGACACCAAAACATGGGGGAATTCCCAGCGAGAAATGTGGAGAGATGCGACGGATGATACTGTGGAATTGATTGAGAAGATTTTAGCAGCGGCACAGGAAGACAGGCATCATGGGGAGGGCGTCTAGGACTTCAACCTCTAGATAACATTACTATCTACTGCCACTTGTCATATAGGGAGCTACTTAGTGTCCTGCGAGCCACTTCGGTAACCCCACTCTCACAGAGGGTTGCGCAACAAGCGGGCTGAAAACCCACGCAGGATTTCGGAAATCGACAAAGTTCCAGATCGTATCTGGCTTCCATCCCGCCGTTTTCCAGCCATTTAGTTTCTGTGGGTGATACGGCAGTCCACCAGAAGGACCGATGTGGTTGGCAACAACGCTCCGGTCATGGGCGATAAGGACGAGCACGTTGTCCGCCGCATCCCAGCGCGCGACTTTCTCAAGCGAGACCCCGGCCACCACAGGGTCCTCGTAGAACGAGTCTGGGGTGTCGGAGACCCGGAGGAGAGACTCAGATCGGGACAGAATGTCAAAAGCGCCGTCCCGCGAGCCGGGGGAGAAGAAGTAGTCGGTGGAAACATGTCCGCGGCTTGACTCTACGATGTGGGCGGGGCATGGGAAATTCGCCTGTAGTGCCGGGCGGGGGCGGGCTTCGCCGACGTGGTGGAAAGTGTCTCCAGCAAGCAGGATGAAAGTAAACGGGTTGGCTGTGACGCGGGCTAGGCCAGTTAGATGCCCCGCGATATGCTGGTATGACGTTAGAGAAGATGCTGGGGCCACATACACCCGGAGTGTCCAGCAAATAGAAGCTGCCGTCGCCAAAATAATCGACTGCTCGCAGGTCATTGATTTCCAGTGAAGACTTGGAAAAATCGATTGGAGTGATGTTCCGACCGCTGCTGGATATCAGTGTTTGAATCCGTTGAGACAAAGACTTAGGCTGACGCAAAATCGGACTCTTGCAGCGTAGCATTCGGATTGGTGGGATAAGTAGAAGCGTCGGTTTCGGAGCCAATGACGAGCGATGTGGTATTTGGAAACTTCGACATGTCGCCCTAAAACACTGTTTCGTGCCGGGTAAGAGGGAAAAAGGGAAAGATCCGCGATCACCGCCCGAATTCGGCTGGTCCGACGCGGCACTCAAATTTTCACATGTCAAACTATACTGGTCCTTGCACGTCTTGCTCCAACGCTAAGTCGCGCTCGCTCGCCAAGTCGCGCGAGGCCAAGGCCATTCTAATATACTGCTGGGAGCCGTGCACGGACCTATAAACATGGTCATGTGAGTAATTTTGTGCGTCGAGTAGCGGGAGAAAAATTTGGGTTTTGAAGCTGAGTGGGGTGGATTTTTCGAGGGTCTCGGGCATGAGTTGAGGGGAGGGTGATTCGGGCAGGTGTAAAGTTGTATATTCAGTATTTCTACGAGACACGCTAATTAAGAGACGCGTCGCGACGCGTTTGATGGCATTTCTGCACAAGTCCGTCATCCACGAACGCCGACCCAGGATTCTATCCCGTGCACAAGTCCATCGGACCTAAACCGCCAGAGCATGCTGGCCATCCGTCCCTCAGCACGAACGCGACGCGGCATGCCCCAACGCGACGCGCAAGTCCGCCTTCCGCTCCTCCTCGTCCTGCGCATTGTGTGGGCTACACACAGCCGACAGCTTCGCAGGCCAGCCGTAGCGTTCGCCTCCGGCGGCCCGGACCTATGCAAAAATGAGCCTTGAATCGCGCAAAGAAGGTCAAAAAGTGCACCCAAAAATACCATCAATTTCTGATGATGCGGATGATCCGAGCGTCGGCACGCGTCGGGAGAGAGCGAAATGTGGCTTCGAGGCATACGCTTGGCCACAGGACGGCAGTGCCGCCCCAGGGAACAAGTCTGCAATGCAAGTCAGCGAGGGGAGGCAAGTGCGCGCGTGTAAACGGGCAAGTCATAACGGCAACGCGTCAGTGAAGGTTGAGGGGAGATAGATGACAACGGTGACGACCAGAAGCAGCGCCAGGGCAGCAGCAGCCCTGATCGTGGCCACGACATCGCCATCAGTGCATCACGATAGCGGTCGGTGAGCACTGCACCGTGCTGGGACAGCAACGGCAGGAAGTGGGGCAGCCATAACGGCGCCGCAGCTGGGCAATAGTGGCGAGAACCGTCTTCGACGTTGGCAGGAGACAAGGCGGAGCCGTGAAGACAGAGCGGCAGCGGCGCAGCCACAACGATGGCGGAATCTTTCTCCTATCCGCAAGGCGTCGCCAGATAAAGTGGTGCGGGTTGCCTCCGCCTCCGACAGGCCGGATCCTGGGGACAGCCGAAGAAGCTTGATGCGCCGCATCGGAGGTGGCGCAGCCGCACAGACAATAGAGCCAATGTCCGCAAGGCATTGCCAGCCAGAGTAACGATAGTGGCGGAGTGATGCACCTGGCGCAATTGATGCGATGCAGGGTGGCGATGGGGATAGTGGGGGCAATGATAGAGGCGGCAACGGGAGCGGCAGCAGCAGTGAAGCCACCTTGACCGGGACGTCCACTGGCTGTGGCTCATGGGAGGCCGGTGGGAGCGCCGATTTCGGCGGGTTGATGCGGCGTATGTGTCGGGGTGGCGCAACTTGGCCGGGAGACGGCCCGGAGGTGGCGGTGGCACCAGGGACAGAGCTGGCCCTCCGACGGCGATGCAGTCCGGCAAAGCTGACAGCAGCAGGGCAGTGTACAGGCCCCAGCAGGGACATTTTGTCCAGTGGCCCCCACATGCACATGGCCCGCCTTAAGTGGCGGGTTGATGTGCCAGAGGTGTCGGCCGTGGGTCAGCAAGTGGCGGCGGCTTGAGGTCAGCCAGGGACAGAGCCCTGTCTCAGACTGCCCTGCAGTCAATAACAATGCTAGGCCTCCGGCCATCAAAATCCTGGGCGAAAAGTGAGTCTTTGAAGGCCAAAAAGAGGACATCAAATGTGCTTACGTAAGCATCAATTGATCCGTGATTCCGGGTCACTTCCATCCAAATGGCCCATTTCTTGACAAACAAGTCAGTCTAGACGATGGGAGAAATGATAGGGACATACCAATATTCCGCCGTCTGGGCCAATCTTACAGCAAGCTTTGTTCTGCCATCAACGCTGACGCAGCGCACGCGCCAGCCGACAGCGGCGACAGCCAGTAAAATCCTACAAAAATGGTCAATAAGAAGCAAAGAGCAAAATCAGATGAGCGCACCATGAATCAGCGACCATCCGTCATCCGAGCAGAGGTTCTCCCTCCATTTCAACCAGAGCTTCAAGTCAGAGAAGCAGAAACCGATGCCTTCGGCGTTAAAGAACCTGGAAGCAGTCAGCATCGTGTTGCGGGAGGTCAGGGAGGATGACATACTGGTATCGAAGGCCGGGCCGTTGACGACAGATCCATCGCCGTCTGGAGTCTCTGGCGGCCGTCTCGCCCGAAAACCAGCTGTTTGCGGTGGGGAAGCCTACGTTAACATATCAGGAACCGACCTACGCGCCACTTGGAGGTAACTCACCAGCAGAATAACATCCAAGCAGAGGTTCCCCCTCTCGTACCAGCGCCGTCGACACCATCATCATCGCAGAGGAAGCTGCAAGGGTGTTTGAAGGTGCAATAAGGCAAGAAAACTCCACGCACAATAGTGGCCCAAGCATGTTGGCGGCATAAGCAGGGGTCTTGGCAGCGAGTACTGGTGTCAGGGCCGTCGTGCTTGCGGAAGAGAGAGTGTTGGTGGACAGAGACATTTGGGGTCGAGAATGAGGGCAACGGAGCACTACAAGGCCATTAGTCCGCGCAGTGCAGGAGAAGGGGGAGAAACGGTGCTTACCGAGGACGATGGTGGTGGTTGAGAGTCAAGAAGCGATTGGACGCGTGACTTCGTTGATACTTTGATGAAGCGTCACTTGTACACAATTGGCGTGGATGTCGGAGTCAGGGCCCTTCGCGAAGCAAGGCGCCACTGCACGTGTGCCTAGGGAAGCGAATAGGTGTGGCTCGAGGCTGCTCGCCGTTGGGTGAGCAAAACAGCAGTGCGGTGGAAAACAGGCGTACTGACAGTGAAAGGGACGGCAAGGACCCTGAAGACACGACGGGCGGAGAGAGCGTGGAGGGAGCTGGCGCGTAGCGATGGCGACTTGAACTTGAAGGTGATGGTATGAGAAAGAGTTGGGGGAAAGGTTGGGTAAGTTACCTAGGGGAGGTGCCTGGGCTATCGGCAGAAGGGCGAACTGTCAGGCTGTAGGGCATGGGTGTCGAGGGCAGCGAGGACGTGGACGCGTTTGCGACGAGGATGATGGGCAAAGGAAAAGAAGGTTGACAGGCGTTGTAACGCCGGGGTGATGATCAGCCGCCGATGCCATCGGTGATAAGGGCTAAAAATGATGAACACGTGTAGCAAAATTCGGAAGAAGCTGGCGGATGGTGGTGAGGTGTCGGAGAAGGTTTGAGGGTACCTGGCACATGTCCGGGAAGTGTTGCGGTACTTGGGCGGTGAAATGGAGCGAAGCAGCACTAATTGACGGGACGTGGAGCGGTGCGCTGAAGGAACCCTGTTCAAGGCCGCCGTTATTGGTTTCTTCGTCTAGTTGTGTGTTCCTCTTTCCTTCTTGTATCTTGCCCAGTTCAGTTTGCCCGGCATTTTTCCCTCTCACGATGTCTTTTTCAAGTTTTTGGTTGATTTTTGTCCCAAGGAACCCCCGCAGAACCTCCATTGCATGCTGGAGCACTTGCAATTTGGTCCTTTGGTCAGGTCTGTGTTGTTTGTTGGCGACTGCACTTGCTCGACGCCGCGGAATTCCAAGAGGATAATTCCATCAATCGCGGAAAATGTGAATCCACAGCGGCGCAAGCGCGGCAATCGGCATACTTCTTATTGCGGCCCAGTTTCTTGCTCGCTTCCACGCCAACTCCGCACTTACAGCGCTGACATTGCGCTGAGAATGCCGCGACTCTCAAATTCTGGCTTCTCAATAACCTTCCCTCATGCTCTCGACCGCGCTCCACAGCCCATCAGTCACCCCTCAGAAGCCTATATAAGACCCTCATTCTGTCTCTCCCACCCATTTCCCTCTTTCCCTCCTCCCTTCATCTTCGCTTGCCCACTTCCCGATTTGGACGTCTTGGCAAAGTCAACCCCACGTGATCGCTCCTCGCTTATCCTCGGCTTCTTTCCGCCGCTCATCTCACCCTCCAGACTTCGCCCGTCGTCGAGGCCGTCGTCTGCGCGCATGCTGTCAGTAAGAGTCCTGCTTATACCTTCTCATTACTTACCCTTTTGCAGCTCACACTTGCGCTTGAAGACTAGGTTTGCGCTCCCTTTGGTTGTGCCCGACATCTGGTGCGTGCCTTCCTGGCCGTCTGCTCACGTTGTCATAGTGACAATATCGCCCGTTTCAGGTGGGGACTGTCCATGGCGGGGCACGGGCTGCTGGTGCGTCATCAGTCTATGTTTCGCTGACGGTCTATGTCGTCACTGTCAGCTGGCGCGAAGCTCCATTGGTGCGTGGGCTTCCATTTACATCCACTTTCCGCGCTGCGCCGTGTCTTTGCTCTCCAACTCCACATGTCCTGTCGCTTCCACATACTTACCCTACACGAACACTTTGCTATACGATACCTCTTTCAAGTTCCCTCATGCTTCACTGCCATCCCGAGTCCTTCATCTTATCCATCTGCCTCTGACCTGTGGACTAACGACGCCCAGATTCAAATCTACAGCACGGTCAGTCTCTTGCGTGCGCTCGGTATATGCAAACGCTTACCCTCTCCAGTTGACCCTTCCTCCGCGGTCGGTCCTCCTGCGAATGAACACGAATACTCACATTGTTTTCTCAGACTTGCTGTCATCAAGTATTCGCGTGCGCTGTCCCCCCCTGGGTTATTTGCGGAAGACGGGGAGCTCGGCGTGGCCCGAAATGCGCGGACGCGGCGCATCGACAGCAAAGCTGCTGACAGCAAGTGCAAACTCCACATATCTCCAAACCGCGACTTACCCTGCGTCAGATCTGTTTGGTCGTTCCCCTCGTACTCGCTGTCCTGACCAAGGCTTGCAGGTTTCATGCCAGAAGCCGGCACCTGCGGCAGATGGATAGCGAAGACACTTTCCGTGAGTGCACCATAGCTTACCCGCTGCAGCCCCGTCTTCCCACTGTTATACTGCTGCCTCTCGGCGTCCTTGCTGTCCATTGCCGCCCAGAACGAGCCGCTGCGACCACAGCTGTCGAAACAGCAATATTCATCTCAGTTTGAGCATTACTGACCGAGTTCTTCAGGTTCCTGCCCTGGATTCCCCCGGGTGACGCGTTCACGGACAACGTCCGTCGTGGCGCGTTTGGGGCCGCGTTGGACGGCGCATGCGCAGCCTGTTGGTCGCCAGATTGCTGGGGTAAGTCCCGCTCTTGAAATCGTCGCTTACAACGTCTAGAACGACCCAGAACGCTGCTAATCAAGGATCGATCTTGATTCCGCCATTGCTGACCCGGGCCGAGCTTTGCAGGTTTCTGGCTGCAATTCGGCCCGGCGGTGCGCGCGCGATGGGTGCTGACGACTGCGCGCTTGGGGGCGTGGTCGTGGCTGGTTATCGACCAGGCTCGCTCGGTACCCAGCTTGTCTTGTATCCGTCGTTGCTGACTGGATTTTGCAGGTTTATCGCTGGAGCTCGGCCAGGCGACGTGTTTTCAATGGAGGTCGAAGACGGCCCGCCTAAGGATGGCGCGTTCCCGGCCTGTTATCGGCTGGGAGTCCAACGCGCCGCGTTGCCTATGTCGTCAGTATCGTTCGCTGCCAACCGGCGCCTGGGACATGTCGATCGGCCGTTGTGGCCGGCGCATTCCCGGCCTGTTGTGGGCAAGACGGTTGTTGTCAGTCCCAGCGTCGCGCGCTCAATTAAGTTACTTACCGCCTTGCAGATGCGTCCTCGTCGAGTCCAACGCGGCCCAACTCGTTGGCAGCGTCGTTCGTTGCCCAGCGCCGCCCGGGACAAGTCGATCTGGCCGACTCTGGTCATCGAGGAGCCGGGTCGGTGTCAGACGCAAGGCTGCCGTCTTTAATGATAGAGTCGCCGTGCTGGCCGTGCTGAGTTGATTTTAGGCTAGCGGGACGTTTCGGGGAGGCCCCGGGAGCATACGGGGTGTGTTGGTTGCGTGAGTGAAGTGGTAGAGTGTCTCGAGACTTTGTTAGTGGTGTGGTGGGATGAGGGCCGGGCCGGCGTGCTGCTGCGGTGGCGGCTCTGTCAAGCGCGGGGTGCATGGTGTACATATATTGATCGACGATGAGCGATCGAAAACGCGGCCGCAGGCCATTCTGTGCGCGCACACGCCCGCTGCCTCCGGGACAAACCGTCACCCCCTTAGCCGGAAGCAAGAATATATTCGTGGCAAGGCACTAACCGACCTGAAGGCAAAGTATCGCAACCTTGGCGAGCTGAGCATCATGGGGAGGGCGTCTAGGACTTCAACCTCTACTAGTTGATAACATTACTATCTACTGCCACTTGTCATATAGGGAGCTACTTAGTGTCCTGCGAGCCACTTCGGTAACCCCACTCTCACAGAGGGTTTCGCAACAAGCGGGCTGAAAACCCACGCAGGATTTCGGAAATCGACAAAGTTCCAGATCGTATCTGGCTTCCATCCCGCCGTTTTCCAGCCATTTAGTTTCTGTGGGGAGCAGTAACGAGAATAGTAGGAGTGGGACTCACCAAGTATCCTACTTTGATGAGCCCAGTCCTACTTTGATATGATAGATGGCATGTGGACGCTGCCAACAGTGCATAGCCGAGTGATAAAACGACACTCAAGATCACAAAATCAATCAAACACAAATGAATGATGCTCCGCGCAGCGGGCCTCCGTGGCGAACGGCAGCCCGCGGCAGCGTGGGGTCCGGGGCAAAGCCCTGGTCGGGGTCCGGGGTGGAAAACCCCGGCCGCCGCGGCCGGCGCCGCAACCCTATTGATGCGACAGTTGTCGATCCATCAACGTGTGGTTGATTTGCGGGAAGCGAGTCCCATTCCGGGGCCGCGGGAGTAGGACTGGGACCCATCAAAGTAGGACTGAGTCCTACTGTGCGAGTCCCAGTCCTACTATTCTCGTATATACTCTTCTGTGGGTGATACGGCAGTCCACCAGAAGGACCGCTGTGGTTGGCAACAACGCTCCGGTCATGGGCGATAAGGACGAGCACGTTGTCCGCCGCATCCCAGCGCGCGACTTTCTCAAGCGAGACCTCGGCCACCACAGGGTCCTCGTAGAACGAGTCTGGGGTGTCGGAGACCCGGAGGAGAGACTCAGATCGGGACAGAATGTCAAAAGCGCCGTCCCGCGAGCCGGGGGCCCCAGAAGAAGTAGTCGGTGGAAACTGTTGAAGAAACTAGACAAAATATTCGATGTTTATTAGAGTAGGACTACCAAGTATTTATATGTCAGGGTTCGGGTCGGGCCAACGGGCCCTATACGGCCCATCGGGCCCTCACCACCCTTAGAGCCCTAGGGCTTGACAAGCCCTCATAATTCACAAGCTCAAAGCAATGAGCAACAACACTAATATCCCAGAGAAGGGACATAATCACGGATCGCGCTTTAGTCAGCCATCAAGCCATCATGACCCGCCATCAGGGATCATGATGCGCCGCCGGACGCCCTTGACAGCGGGCCCAATCGGCCCTAGACAACCACAGGGTCCAGGAGGGAGCTCCTTACTGTTGCATTGTCAAACACTCCTTAGTGTCGACATTGGCATGGCTCCT